TAAGGTCACCAAATGGATCTCTGTCACACGTGGGCAAGTCAGCACAAACCTTCTGCACTTCCTGCACTGCTTTCTCCTCAGTGCGGTGTCTCAGCCTTCTCTCAATGCCTCCAACACCGCCTTGTCGCTCTGCTCCAAGGCCCAAACACTCCAACAAAGATATTTTCCCTATATTGTCTAGTCTGGTTTTTCAAATGCCACTTCAGATTCCCATTTCACCGAATGCAAATAATGTGAATAAGCCTGTTTTTTCCTGAAGAATATCATTCGTAGGAAAGCATTTTCATGGCAACCCCAGTTTAATCTTTTTTCCCAAGATCATACAAATGTTGATCTCCAGTCTCGTCTGCTCAACTGTCACATCCCCCCATCCCACTGTTGCTCTAATTGCACACTGCTGAGCCCCCTCAATCGTTTCAGTATCCCTCGATAATGACAGGATCAGAACTGAAAGCAAAAATCCTCTCTGCAAAGCGGCATTACAGCCTTTCATTTCTGCTTTTGATTCTTCTGTAAAACCGAGGCGAGGAAAGCACTGGCTTATTTCTGATACAGTGATGTTGCACCACAATCTCTTACTCAGTCTGTTCTCACCCCAGTGGATTTTTGTTTGGTATTTTTAACTCTAAACTTTCCAAGTAGCCACCTCCTGTTAGGTACTTGTTCCAGTTGCCAGTCCTACTTCGGATATACAACTGTATCACCTCACTGAGCGTAACAAGATGTTCTTACCCTTTTCGAACACTGGGCAGTCTTGTTCTCACCTAACGCAGGTTCTTTGTCCCTTTGCTTTCACCTCAGCTTAAAAATACACCAGGAAAAGAGTCTGTCTCCTTAAATTCACTAACAAGAGTTACACAGAAAAGGCCTGGGTACTGATGGCCGCAAAACATGAGAAGCGCTCCTCATCTGCAAGCGGAATTGGTAACAGTAGCACTACACAGGGGTAGATATTAATTTGTTTAGCGCTTGGTGGGTTTGGGGTATTTTGAGGGGTTAGGGCGTTTATCCAGGACAAGATTTTTCTTTTTCATTGTATCTCTCTATACAGCACTGCATCAAGTGTCTTAAACTGAACTACTGCACACCACAGCCACTGCACTATTGTCACCCAGCAAGATAAAAATGATAAGAGAGAACACTACCAGATTTGTTTGCTATGATTGGTTCTCCACTAGCCCTGGTATATCAGTCAGTAAATGCACCTTCCCCCTGCTCCAACTGAAAGCAGATACATACCCATAATTGAATACCCTATATGCACACCCCAAAAGCGAAGAAGCCTCATCAAATTACGCCTTGTCCGACCTAGAAGCCCTCCCAGAGCAGTCCTGCAGCCCGGCTGCTCTGCTCCCACTGCTAGACCAGGGCACGGCAGTATGTGTCACTGCCTCAACTGATCCCCATTCCCAGTCTTGCATCCCAGCTTAAAGTCTGCCCCTAATGCCCTAAGACATAAGATGTGCAGCTTTCTGCTGTTGTACCTCAGTAGCTGCTCCCTCAATATTTAATCTTGTAAGCTGTTAATGCACAGATTTGTGCTAAGCAGCGGGGTTCATCTTTTTCTGTACTCAAAATTTGCTTTCCTCTTGCTTGAATGTGGCAAAGGCCACTCTTTTACTCCTCAGACCTCAAGTCAAAAATCATTCAATTTTAACCCAGCGAGAGTCCAGGTGGGTTTCTTCCTACTGGAAGCCTTCCTTTCCTTTAAAAATTACTTTAGAAAATTTTGGCCAGGCAGTACTTTCGCATTTCTTTGCATTTTTATTTAGCCTTAGTTTTTTCACTAAGCAAAATAAATAAAAGCCTGGAGGCAGCCAAGCCTCATCTCCGGAGATGCAGGCAGCTGCCCCAGCCACCTCTGTGCCAGGGCTGTGCTGCTTGGCCAGCTGCGATGCAGGGCACACAGCCACTGCCTGGGAGGACACAGGAGGAGGCAAGGCAGAGGGGCTGCCAAACCAGCATCTCCCTGAGGCCCGGCTGCCCGCCCAGCCCAACCCTTCTCTCACGGGGAAGGAGCTGCCGCTGTCTTTCAGCTGAGAATTGCTGCCCCCTCCCTCCACTCTCCAAGAGATGATCCACTTTGTTCCCAACCGGAGTAAGAGTTCAGTACGTGACTCGGATGTTCAAAGGACTCAATCAGCTAGCCACTAGCCACCCTAGAAGAAATACATATTGCTCCATATGAAGCAGTTCATAAAGCATCCCCAGCTTCTTGGGACTAGACTAGACAAGCACAAAGCTAAAGCATCTAGCACTTTTGTGGGAGACACAAATCACTCAGCTGTTGGGGCATACACTCCCTTGGGCTTTCAGCACCAGCTAGGCCAGGGAGCCTATTTTCATGGAGATTCTTCAAGACAGAAGTAATTTAAACTCCCAAACGCAACTCATCCTACAGGATCTATTTTCTGAGCAGTGTGGGAAGGTACCGGCCTGCACAACCATTTATTAGCACAAATAGGAGTGTATGTTTAACTCTGTGGAACGGGTAGAACAAAGGATTATTAAATAAAATTCTGATTAGTTCTGCTGAAAGCAAAATACCAGCTGGAGCCTGGGGTAACGCAGGCACACTATCAGCAAACATGTGCTGCCAGCGCATCTGCACACACACACACCAGCTCTGGCCACGGGGGAGCCTCAGACTGGAACAGCAGAACCAAGGTATCCCCATCGTGCTCTGTGCTCTGACAGCTCAGGTCCTGCCCTCCGCTAGGCAAAGCCTTTGGCCTGACAGTGCCAGTCGTAGCTGCACAACGGGAATGAGAGCAATGAAACCCAAGTTTTCCGACTTGATGCCCTCCTACCAGTAGCCGTGCTTTGTCAGCTTTCCAAGTGGGAACACTGCCACCCAACACCGCTATCGCAGAGTCCCACCACCTGGAAACATGCACGGCACATCGGCACAAGGGGATCGCACCCGCAAACCAGCCTGCCTAACTGCAGCCATATTCATTAACAGCCCATCGTTTAGATCCTATTGCAAAAGTTAATGAAGCCACTTTGCAAGAGGGCAGCCTCCCTGAACAGAAGATAAATAATGTATGTAAAAGGGGGCTGGGAGCGAACTGGTGCATCCTTGCAAGGTCATGCTAGAATGCATCAGTGGCTGGCTGAGGCTGGGCTCCTCTGGTAAGAAGCCTGGAGCTATTTATGACTCATGTAATTAATTAATGCCAATGGGCGTTCTGCTGCAGGCACGTGGGAGACCAAAGGGAAATATGAAGAGAGCAGGTTAGGAAATGTAGTGGAGGTGGGGGAGAAGGATGACGTTTCTTGCGGCAAGACATGCTTTGAAGTAATTATCAACAGTCCAAACAGCCAGCAGCTCTTTTGGCTACATCAGTACAAAATCAATTAGGAGCTTTAAAAATGCATCGGCTCATATTTCAGAGAGCAGTAAGAATAAGAAGTAGCCATCTGAGGCAGGGCAGTTGCATTTCTTAGCGCCGCACACCACCAGACCCACAGATCCTCAGACCCCGCAGTGCGGTCCACAAATGATGTGACCAGTAGAGGGAGCATCGTTAATGCCTTCCAAATCGTAAACATTTTTGGATGAGGAGCATTAAGGAAGACTGATGGTTTGATTTTACATCTCTCTAAAGTCTGAGGACAAGTTTAACAGATGCAAGAGAAAGAAGCAAAGGGCAAAATGAAACATGGGCATACGCCTTGAAAGCTGAGTCCCTGCAGGCACTCAGGGCTCCTGACATGTACCACCTTCCCTTTCTGGAGCCTAGCTCTGACACCCGCAGCTAACCAAAACTCACAGATCACATTAAGAAAGGGACCGCGTCCCTTTCCTGCTTCAGTTTGCAATACTGCAGTCTCACACCAAACACTCAACATGTGGCAATGCTGAGTCATGACACCGCGCTTGCACAGACTGTTTGAGGACAATGAGAGCTTAACCTAATTTTGTCCCTTCGTTTGTCCTCTGCGCAGAGGAGATCAATCAGTTCCACTCCCTGCCTTCAGATCCCCATGTATCCAGTGCCTAATACATTATACAGCAAAACTGTAAACACAAATAAAACGCACCCTTTCCCTCCTCTGGCGCCCTAAAGTCCTTCTGGGCTGTCCAGCTCCCACCCAGCCTGCATCCTCTCTCATGTCTCTTTGTTGCCAGAATATCTTCTATCAGTTCCCAAATGTATTCATGCATTGTCCCGTCTCCCTCTTATCATAGCTGCCTGCAACAAATCCCCTCACACAATGAGCACTGCCAATTTGCTTACAACCCAGTTTTGTTTTCCATTTCTACTTCTCTGTGCTTGCCTTTTCTCTCTGGACACTTGCAGGGGCCAAGCACCACAGCATCAGTCTGACACTGCCATCTGGATGAGCAGCAGAGGCTGCCTCTGCTGCCTGCAGTCTCAACCCTGGCAGGCAAAGCCTGGGAAGCTGCAGGATGCTCCCCTTCGAGCCTTACCCACCTCCGCGGTCTGGGGGATCTTGCTTCCTACCCTCTGATCACTGCCAAAGTCCTCAGATCCTGGCTGGTGGGACTCCCTTTCGCTATCTGCTATTTTTCTGGAGCAAAACCATGCAAATCAATAGCAGGGATTAAAAAAAAAAACGAAGAAAATAATAAGTGAAATGGCAGTAGGTTTTAGTTTCATAAATATATATGAGTGAGTAGAACAAGAGCAACAAAGTACTCCTTTCTGGTGGGCTGAGAATCGACATGAGCCTGAGTCTCCAGGGTAAAACACGAGTGAAGTAAACAACAACACGAACACCCACTTAGCATTCGTGCTACATACTCCTGATCTGAGCCTCACCAGCTTTAAGAATGCTTCTGTTAAATACTGTAATGCTCCCAATTATGAGTGATCCGGATTGTTTATTTTCTAAACAGATTCCCCCCACCCCCCCCACCCCGGGAGATCCCATAAGCCTAAGACAAAAGCAGTCTTGAAAAGGTGTTTCAATCTTTTTTGGCTATGCAATATCCACAGCTGGCTCGATTTCCCTAACTGTTTCATACTGACCTTGAGGATATTTCGGCCATTAAACGACTCCCGTTCCTTGAAAGATGATTTACCAGTCATTGTATTGTTTCGCTCTTCAGCTGTAAAGAGAAAAGCCACCACCAGAATGAGCTTCAGACGGGAGAACTGTGTGTGCACTGTACTTCACCCCCCACTCTCTCCCTCCCCAGTCAGCTGCCAGCTAATAAACCATCTTTGCCCAGTTCTTAGTGCAAAAACACTTCCACTTTGGTTTTAAAGAGAACAAGGCTGAATACACAGGAATTGGTGCCTTTATTGGGATCACCTACGTTACCTGGAGGAAAGACCCTAAATCATAGCTACTGCTAGGGTGATTCTGTAGGGCTGATGGTTCAGTGCAACACATCTGCTTCTCTCTGGCTGATTTTAATCCCACATCCTGCCAGGGTGAGAGTCAGCACTGCGAGCGCTTGCATCGCCTGGAACAGCACCAAATACCAGACTGAGCATGTGAGCACAATGCCAGGCACAATCCGGACAGCACCTATACAAACCTCTGCCGCCTGCTCCGGGAAGCACATACGTGTGGTGTGTATGCTTCCGCGGGGTGGGCACGCAGCCACGCACACAGACATTAAGAATAGCAACCTAGGCTTACAGCAACTGCCAAATGCCTACGTCTTAGATCCACTTCCCCAGAGCACGTCTGGATTTTTATATAATCCCTAAGTACATGATCTGTTCTTTCTACAGGACCTCTGCCTCACTCAGTGAATATACTCAATATTTCTTTTTCATCTCCAGCATTAACTATGAAGTCCCACTCACACCTAGCACGCTATTCAAATCCTGTATTGACTATAAAGCGACTTCTATGGCTATCTGTGTAATGCTTTCACCGTTGTGTCTGAACGCCTCACATGCCTCATGGGGCTGTTCAGAATATAGACTCATAATGCCAGACGCAGCTGCCCGTGTGCCTTCCCTAACAGAAAGCCACATCAGCACTTTGGGCTTACATTTTCACCAATTTTCAGGGCTCAATTTGAGAGAGCTAAGCCCCATCTTTTCAGGGTTTCTACCGCCTGAGTATGCTTATCTGACCTTAGTAGCAGTTGTCCCCAAAGTCTGCCGTTGGGTGCACAGAAAACTGTAACACAAACCATCTGCTGTTATCACTGTCCATACAGAGACTCACAGAGGCAGTAACTGGAGAATACTCGACATAACCTATCGGCATTGCACAGAGGCCACTATGCCAGAGAAAGCTACGAAAAGCTTCAGTGCAATGCTGTTAAGGCTTGCAAACTACACACCAATGCCAGAGCACATGCATGTTTGCACATGGAGAACAAAGCTGTAATATACTGCCCCTCCCTAAACGCAATGCATCTGAGGCTGCTTTATAAAGTAATGCGATAAGAACGATGCTACAGACCGCTAGAGCAGACAATCTTTTGGCAGAGACAGCAGACACTATACACTCAATAATAGCTCATATTCAGCTTCATAGCCGTCTGAATCTGATTTAACGAGAATGACACTGGAATCGCGTTCCTAAACCAACAGGCAATCTTTAACTTGACCAGAAAGGATCACATTTTCATCTTGTTTAAAGGTCAGCACAGCACATCGAGTTGTTACTGAATTTCAATTTAATGTTGGGACACAGAGAACCCAAGACCTCACATGGTACTTGAATGCATTCTTCTCTGGCCCAGATCTTATGAGTGCTACTGGGCGATAGTGTTTCTGAAGCTATGACAAAGAACTTAGAAAAGATCCAGAAAGTGCTCAAAGCATGCCTGCTTTCTCCAGCTCTGCTGATTGCTTTTTCGTTTTCTTCTGGGTTTTATTTAGTGACATCCCCCCACAACCTTGTAGGTATTTTTGAGATTAGGAAAAATCACAAAATTTTAAAAAAAGAAACATAAAAGCCAACAAAAGCATTTCCCATTCGGAGGTAATACTTTAAATGTATTTATCAGTAAGGATGAGGGATACGCACCACTTGGATCTTTCCTGAAGAGAGTGTTCATGACTGTAGCATGCAGTTTCACCCTATCCCATTCTTTAAGCATCAGGCCAGAGGCCACAAACCTTTCCACCAGTTGATCAGCGATCACCTGCAATCTGGGAAGACAAAACCAGAAAGAACAGAGCAGTGTAAACCAAGGAGAAACCCCTGCATCGTCAGCTTTTTGCTATTCAGCCAGGGAGAGCAGCATGTGTGAAATGAAGTCTCTGCACGCACACAGGCAAAGGGAGCTAGTCTCTCATGGAAAGCGAACAGAGGCATCAGGATTCAGCTCTAACGCAAAAAGTTCTGGCTGTTTCGCAAAGCTTCCTCGGTGATCACTTCTGCTGCAAATATTCCACGAAGAAGGGCAGATTTAGCATAGCAGAGAGCTTGTTCGCAGTGACAGATGTTATTAGGGCTTCAAGGATGCATCTTTCTACTGCCAGGAAACACAATGAGACTCTCCTTACAAATGCTAAAATCTGCAGACCCCCAGGGGGGCTTAGGCACCTTGACTCCTGGAGGACCTACTCTGCTCAGGGACTGCAACCTGTACAGTGCACTGGGCCGGATCTCAGACCCCCTCTGTCCCAAATAAGCAACCCAGTCACTGGGCTTAATTTCTGGGATAGTCCAGAACGTGGCGGCAGAGGGCACAAACCCAGACAGCACATTCTGGTGAATACTCCAGCTTTGGAGCTACTGAGCAAGCAGAATCAAAGGACTTATTGCCACCTTCTTGTCTGGCCTCAGTCGGGGATGAAAGCAGCCATGGCTGCCGGGATCTGCGGGCAGACCTGTCCTAGGATAGGCAGCAGGAGCAGGCAGGTGATCAGAGCAGTGCGCTCATGCATCCTATGTCTAAAGAGCTGAAGGAACTTCCAGGCTGCTGCTGACCCCCACAAAATTTCTGCAGTGCCTGAGCCTTCCCAAAAGCAGCAAGGATGTGCTAGAACAATAGCTTTCCATCCCCGAAAACAAGGCAAGATGTTTTCTTGTTTCATACTCTATGCAGAAGAATTTGGGCTTCTCTCACCACATCCAAGGCATTAGACAGCTCTCTGCTCCACCAGGTCCCACCACTTTGGCATCTCAGCTGCAGGGGGAGAGGCAGCGTGTGGCCTCTCTGAGGCTGGTCCCCTGAGCCCAGGGCTGCCACGCTCTGGTTGCCACCTCCTACCCCAGCATCAGTTTCGTACTGCCCCTCATGGGCTGCCAGCCCCCATGTGACGATTTCAAGACTCTCAAACTACCAATTCTCATGGTTTTCTACCACTTTCTGGCTTTACATCAGTGATTTTTAAAATTAGCAATGACAAAGATTAAATGAATATCATTACAGACAATACTAAAACAAATTAACAGAGAATAACTCAAGTGAAAATGGTGCTTTATTACGTTATAAAGTTAATCAAGAAAATAAAACAAATTAGAATTAATTATAATGGAAATTATTTGCCATGTGGGAGGCATCAGAGCATGATCCCTCTCTCAGTCTGAACCATTATATGTGCAGAAGGGCTTGCCAACCCCTAATTCTGTCTGCAGTTATGCAAGCTAAGTCAGGGTAAATCAAATCTCCTGCTTTATAGCTTAAGCTGATCAAGATCATCCAAAGATCAGGAAGGAACTCCACCCCTCAGCCATGCCAGGAACTACACAGCGCTAGCAAGACGTCTTGTGTGAGACAGGAAGGCACACACCTCTCTTAAACGTGGGCTGCAGCAGTCTGATCCAGCACAGCAAACCACACGGCTGCCGCTCTCCCCTAGTATTGGCCTTGAGGCTGAGAAACTCTGCTTTCTACCTGCTTTCCCCATTTCCCTGAGCAAAGCACAGCAGGTTTTAGCAGGCAAGAGGTGCATGGAGCTGCTCAGCAATGATCTGTCTAGCAGACCAGAAAAGGAAGCAGAGTCTTCTGGAGGGATCACCATTTGCCCCCTCTTATAATCACCATTTGTCCAACACTGTGTCTGCTGGAATCTCAAAGGAAGCAAAAGAAGCTTCCACTGCTCTCCATCAACACAAAAGTATCTTCTTTCCCCTCTGCAAAGCTAAATGTTTTCTGGATGCTTGCTAACAGTTAAGGAACTATATTAGGGGAGAAGTACCAGATGAATTAATTTGCAGGTGAGGGCAGGACCGGCCTGGGTCAAGGATAAAAACTTAAAAATCACTTGGCCCTCTCTGATCACGCTGCTACGCAAAAAGCAAAAAAGGTGTTGTGGAAGAGAGGTCTGGCAGCCTCCAGGTGCCATGCAAAAGCACAAGATCTGGGTTTGGTCAAAACCTCAGCTAATACATCTCTGTGAAGGACAGAGGAGACATCAGCCCTTTGTCGGGGGGGCAGATGGGGGTTGTTTTCAGTTTCAAGGCAAGGTGGATTTGAAGACCTCATTTCTCTCCCCTGCCAAAATCAGCTCTGCCACCCCTAATGCACATCAGCATTTTCTGCTAGCATTATGGCTAAGTGGGTTCTCAGCAAAATGGATACAGCTGGCATCTGAAGCAGACCACAGTGCTAGTACCAGCAACTCAAGCTGTCTCCAGATGCAGGCAGACATCACTGCCTCACTTTAGGCCCTACTTACGCTCTTCAGCATTTCTCTACACAGACTTATTTTCATACGCAAGGAGATGCGCAAGCACTGCACCTCAGAGGTGATCCAGAGCTCAGTGACTCAGGAGAAAAGAGGCCCATACCTCAGCTCTCAGAGCTGACACTTCGGATGCCTTCTACAACAAACCCACCGAAGGGCATTTGGGTCATCCAGTGTCTGCCTCCGTCTTGTTTTTCTGAGTGCTTCTGCCTTGTTTCTCCCTGTGCTTCTCTTCTGTCTCCTGGCTGACCTCTAGCTTGTCATGGTTCTCCACTCGCCCCATTTGTTTTATCTCACCTCTTTCAGGGTAGGACAGACTTCAAAGTGGAAGAGCCGAGAAGAGGAAAAGATTTCAATTCCTATTGCCTCCCAGCAATTCTTACATTTTCATTTTCCCACCCATTTCCTTATCCCGCTTCCGATCTCTTTCTTCAACACAGCCTCCGAAGTGCAGTTTTAAGCAGGGGGCCCCCCTTGTCTCCTCAGCCCTCGGGGACAGGAGATGCCAGAACATGTCCTTTCTTCCCTGAGCCAGTTCCTGCTCACAGCCTCCCTCCTCCAGCTGCACTGCTCCGTGCTCCCCTGCTAGCTCCTGCTGTCCTCTAGCAACAGGAACAGACACCAAAGGGCAGCACTGCCAGAAAAAGAGAAGGCTAAGGCTCCGGGAGATAAGGCTAAAGCTCTTTTGGCTACCTCCCTACCTCCTTCCACACCCATCTCACAACTGGCAGCACGGAGTACAACAGCTCTTAGTTTCCCCAGTCTTCCAGAAAGCACTAAAAGAAAAGACGGTGCTGCCACTGGTGACATACTTGTCAAAAACGAGATGGAGGAAGGTTGTCCAGGCACCGCCACATCCTGGGCAGCGCTGTTTGTAGGGCTAAAACCATCAGCCACAGTGGCAAAGAGCACAAACACACACACCGACACCAACCAGGCTTCAAGATTTCACACCAGCAGCTCAGAAGACAGACATTTCACACCCAGCGCCTGTTCCAGGCTGCATACAGACACAAAAAACAACTCTGTAACCAAGCTTTTTCTGAGGACCTTCTGGTGTAACTGGGTTTTAAGAATAATTAAGTGCTGCAGAATATGCCAGGCTGTCCAGATTAATCTGGATTGCAGGTTGGGAACTAGACAGCAGAGGCCAAGTTGTCCTGCCTTCTAAGTCATCTCAGGAGTATCTCCTTGGCCATCTTATCACCGCGTGAGCCACAACACCATTATTCAATCTGACAGACTGCTACAGAAACAAATGACATCTTTCAGCCGTGCCACCAGTGACTGATTTAAAGAGCAAACACATCACCGCCTTAACCGGTTTAGGAAGCAAGAACGACTTCATCTTCCTGACTGCTGGCCCAAGGACTGCTAGCAGTACCCACCAGCTTCAGACGGCAGAGGGTTTCTCTGGCACACCGCTACTGCTGCCATGGCACATTGAGGAGGAATGAAAAAAAGGGAGCATGGGGAACTCACCTATCCGAGCCATCCTTCATGTGGACTTTGGCATAAAGGACGTCCGTCATGGCAGGGTCATCATTCATGTACTCCACTCCTGCTACCTCCACGGTCAGGGGCTTGCCTCCAGCTATTTGGCTAAAATGTAAGAAATCCCTTATGTTAAAAAGCAAAACATCACACCTGCTTTTGAAATACAACACATAGTACTCCTCATGCACACACTGAATATTTTGTTTTACTAAGGGAATGACATAAAATACATTCTTTGCTATAGTTAAACACAACTTTGAGGTTAAGTGGGACTTAAATGCTATACAGACCATATGGGGCAGTGAACTCCACTGAGGAGTTCTTTTTTTTCCTGTATCTTTCAGGTTGTTTGCACTGAAAAAACCCAAACACAGAAAAGGCTCCCGAATTTCTAAAACTCAAAAGGCTACAGCTGCTATTGTCTCATCATCTCAAGAAATACTGTAAAAACACTTAAACTTATACGTTCAGTGTTTTAGACACACGTTAAGTCAACTTGTCAGTTTTCACAGGCCATCTCAACACAGAGATCTCCATTTACATTTCAGAAAACTCATCAGCAATAAAATGGTACAAGTTCTCATTCCAGAGAAGCTCCTGCCTTCCCTGTGAAGAGAGCGATCATGACACAAAGTCTCTAGCTCGTTGATTTTCGCTGGGAAAAGTACTCGACACAGAATGCAGTTTTAAGTACATTTCAACATCCACTTACTAATGCTGGAAGTAAATAGAGCTGTTTTAAACTCAGCTCCAGCTACTTTTGCAGGAAGGCGAAACTAAAAATGTGTGCAGGATATAATATGCACTCCACCTGCAAACACACTGTGAAGTGTATCTGCTTCCAAACACGCCGCCCCCTTGCCTTTACCATCAGAACATCACAGTGAGGCAGGGTGCTGCAGCAAAAGCTCCTTGTGAGTAAGTGCCGTTGTCTTATTTAACACCAAGGTCTCGCGGAAAGTACAGGGAGTGTCTGGGCAGGCTGAAGTAATGAACACCAGTTAACAATGTGAGCCTGACTTTGTTCTAACCTTGCTCACTTCTGTTCAGCCTGCCCTTAGAGACTGCTTTTGAGATTCTCAGCAAAGCTTCCCAGGTGGAATAAGGAAAGCATGATTTTCCCTTCCAGTATGTTTACAGGGAGGAAAACAGCACAAGTACAGTCATGCACCTGAGACTGAGAGCATTTGAGGCCATGTATTCTAAAAAGGGTCAAAAAGGGCACATCTACCTTCACATGGCACTGCCTGCATTTAGAAAAGTAAATGATCGCTAAGGAAGGCTTATGTGGGTGGAAGGGAGCCTAAATTAATTTTCAAAGTGTATTTATTTGGGCATGGCAGGGGAAATAACCTAAACGTTACATGCAAGTGTTGATTCCCCCTCCACTAAAGGAAATGGAGGGTAGAAATTTTGTCTGCCTCAGTTCAATCCACTTATGAGGAAGCTGGCACTTTCCAAATACTGCAGGCAGAGCCTTCCCCTGGAAATGCACTTGCATTTCTGTTCAACAGCTGCACAACTGGAGCCGTCATTTTAAAGACAGAGGTATGAATTTTGGCCATGCATTAATTCCCACAGATATTAGCTGGCACAGCGTGGCTAATTCTTCATGCACTGAGGCAATAAATAAATAAATAAATAGATAGATAAATAAATAAGATATTAGCTGGCACAGCGTGGCTAATTCTTCATGCACTGAGGCAATAAATAAATAAATAAATAGATAGATAGATAGAAATCAAGGATCCGGTGCTCTATGGCAAAGGCTTTGCAGAAATTAATAAATAAACCAATCCCTCAGGCCATCTCCAATTTCTAAGCTGAACAGAGATAAGCTAATTACAGTGTCATTCAACCACATTTACACTTAAAGCCCTAACATCTGCAACTCAGTGTTAACAGGCAGCAAGAAAGCCCCGGTCCTGGAGCAGCACTGAACGTTTCAGACTGATTACTCACACGGCTCATGCTGGCTTCCCTGCACACAGCTCCCCGCATCAAGAAATGCATGTCAAGGACACCTCAGCATCTGCTCTGAGGCAGGAGGGAAGCAGCGTACCAGAGCCCACTGCAGGCAATGCGCGAAGGTAATGGAGCTCGTCCCTCCCTCTGCAGCAGGCAGAGCAAAAATTGCTCACACAAAAATAACGGGGATGCGTGTGAGAAAAAGAAATGATTACAGCAGGTTTTCAGGGAATGCTGAGGGTTTGAGCTGAGCTGCGAGATGCTGTTAGACTCTTTGTGACTGCTTGGTGATTTCTACTGCTCCCATTTGAAACGTTTCAGCTTTTTTCTAAATTTCTGAGTTGAGATAGACTATTGAGCTGCTTTTCTCTTCGCTGTCCCTTGTCAAAGACAGCTTGCTGCTTTTCCCCCACTCATGCCCTTGGTGATGACATCCCTTTTTTATCACTTACTCCACAAAGTCCTCTTTGCATCGCTGTAGGAGGTCACATGCTTTCTGGGTCTCTTGCTCGTTCAGAAGTACCAGCGTCCCAAGAGTCAGGTGAAGCTTTGCAGGGTTCTGGAACAGGCTGCTGCTGACCCCGTGATCCTACAAATCCATCATTCAATCATATATAGGTGTCTTATCTCATACACACACACACCCCTCCATCAGAGGGATAAATACTACAGAGAACAGGTACCAAGCCACTGGCATCAAACCTTCTATCTCTGCATCACTGGTCAGGTTGGTAGTGACTCGAAGTTGAAATGAGTAACAAAATTTCACAGGCTTTGCAAGAAAGCGAGTTCAGCCTGGCAGGCGAGGCACAGCCCCCCACTGCACGCACGCTCCCTGCCGGCCTTTTCATCGGAGCTGCTGAACGGCAGCCTGGAAGCTCATTAGGACAGGCTCTAACTCTGGACCCAGGAACAGCAGCACTCACTTGTACGGGGTTTCAAGAGACTTCCATAGCTGTCAAAGCAGCAGCTGCCATCAGCAACACAAGTCAGCACAGATTTAAAACTTGAGTTAAGTCCATTTTTTGTGCAATAAAGCTGGAACCAGCTGTAGTGACGAGCTCTAAATGGTCTCTAAATCCTGTCTAAACACAGGTTGCACCTCACAACACAAGCACAGCTAATACCAGCTCTGATAATTACATTTTTCTTGTTCCCATGTGCCCTATAGTTTGCCAAGATGAATTAAGTTTAAATTCCCTTTATAAGAAGAGTTACATGTTTTTACTGGGGAAGAACTGTTCCCAGGTGGAGCAGCGGTTACGTTCAGTTTTAAAAAACATGCTCTTTTGTTCTAGGATATTTATAAAAATACCTCGAGGATGCTTAACACACCCATATTAAAACAATTATTTCCACTTAGTGGCCATTTCCCATCAACGCATTAAATAACCTCCACTTTTAACTCCAGAAGAAGCCAACGCCACTTGCTGGGCCACTGAAGCCTTTCCCTGTCTGAAAAAAGTCCACCGACTGAGAATGACAGCTTTGAAGTTTCTAGCTGTGCTTCAGAGTTTGAAATAAAACCCTTCAGATGTTTAAACGCTGCAGTATCTCAGCCCGTCAGAGTTTAATGCCCCACATCTCACCCAGCATTTTTCACGTCTAATGACAACATCCATACTCTTCATTACAGCGGTGCTTATGGGCTGGACTAGAGACAAGCCAGCCTGCAACACAGAGGCCAGTGGCTTGCTCCAGCAGCCGCAGGCTGGCAAAGCATGGTGGTCCCCAGAAGAGAGAGAGTACGTACATACCTTCCACTGCTGCCAATTACTTTATTGCTGACTGAAACCCCAAATTGTACCACACTAGTACTGGCAAAGCAGGCTGCAAACCTCAGCACCATGCAGCAGCCTGAAACAAGCACAGACTAACTGTCAGGCACGTCAGGAGCAGAGGAAAGAGAGACGGCTCCATCTCACTTCTCCCCACCTTCCCCTCTCTGCAGTAAAAGCCTTTCGGCTTCCTTTAATTCATACTGCTGTTAACGTGCATGACAGGACATGATTTCTCTCCGTCAGCCTTTTTTCTCCAATGGTATCCGTAGCCAGAGGATATTTGGCCCATCACAAAACAATAGCTCAGGTAACAGAAACTGGGAGAAAGTTTGATGTGTCCTTGCCATGGACAACCAGCCGATGTCACTCCCACAGTGCGCACAGATGATGTACAGTAATGAGAAAGTAGTTCACGGGTCAGAAAGCAAAAGCCCTACCCTCATTTTCTGCCCCAGCATGATTTGTACTGTAAACATCAACCTGCCCCAAAAGCAGCTTTTTCCCCTGAGCTTTCCAACACCTGAGTGTGGGCTGATAGCTGACAAAGTGATGGCACGTCACCTCCACAAGCCACGCTACCGCTGCTGGGGAGATTAGCAGGGAAGAGCAGTGCACAGTGAGCAGGCCAAGACCTAGATAATCTTCCTGGTTTACTCCCTAGTATTTCAGACAGCTCCTAAAACCCCTGCTTACACCCCTACTCTTTCACAGGCCAGCAGATCCCACTTCTCCCACGCATAAAATAGATGCTACATCAGAGGTAGCTCTCCCTGGAACATGCAATGTTTCTGCGGGCGTCTTACCAGCCCTCATGGCTGGATGCTGCTCACCAAGATGCAAAAAAGCTTGAACCCACTTATTCTAATCCCAGATTATGATATGCTACCAGCAAGCTCCCCTGTCCAGTGGTATGAGCCCTCTGCAACCCGACCAGCAGGGCCACACAACAGCAATGCAGAGCCTAGAAATACGTGTTCATAACTACTGCTAAGGAAAAATCACGTTCTCATCCAGGGAGAATGAGCCCAAGAGATGTGATCCTGTCAATGATTCTGGGGCTTTATGGACATCTTCCAAATACCTAAGGAACCCTCCCAAGGTAAGCTGCAACCGTAAGAGCAGGGTTGAGATTCAGCATCGGAGATGGGCACAGGGATCCACCGGGATCTAAGCCATGCTCTCCGAGTGCCTCTCGGCGACAAGCTCCTCTTTCACCAGTTTCCTCCCCGTGCAGTGGAAGGTGGGCACTCCTCATAGAACAAGTCACAGTGGCTTGTGGCAAGCGGTGGCTTCCAGCCCTAATGAAAGCAGAGCACCAGATTAGGGGAGGCGAGGTGTTGCAGCAGGGAATGCCCATATTCTACAGGGGAATCTGAAAGCTGAGTGTTTGCAGGAACTCGCTGGCAGATACAAACACATAAAACAGACTCTATAGTCTCTCTAAAAATTTACTGTTCAAACTTCAGTTCTCTAAGGATGTACCGAGAGGCAGGAAGAATATCCTCTTTACGCACCATCCATATGTGATGACTGTCCATTTTAGCTTATGCCTCTCCCTGACACTGCCCTGTCATGGTCAAAAAAACAACAACTCATTTCCACCCAGTCTTAAAAATTCATTTTTTTCCTCCCTCCTGCTACTTAGATTTCTACCTTTGCTCTCCTCCTTTAGAAGGAACACAGAAAGGGTTTTATCTGGAGTCTTCACCTCTCTTTGCAAAGCCCAAGCACATTGTTCCTCCAAATCTAAGGCCCTGTAGCAGGGAAACCATAGACCACAACACACTTCAGGCCTTCAATGTGACAAGGCAAAGGTTCAAACTCCTTTGCTCTTCCTCCCTGGCTGCGTCCTCTCTACTGTCTTAACAGCTTACAATATTTGCAGACAGCTTCATGTTTTTGGTTTTTTTCTTAATAGCAGGATACTCTGTGCCAGCTCTATGCCCTCTCCCACCCTGATCCACAAAGGAGCGAGCCAAAAAAACAGCATTTCCTCAGAACTGACTGAAGAGCTGCAGGCTGAAAAACCCCACCCATTTTCTGTCCCTTCCACTCCGAGATATAATATCTCATTAGCAATGTTTGATATTTACAGGTTGCCATATATTATAGCAATCATATTTCTTTTCTGTACTACATCTGCAGCCTGTTAAGACTGCAAATGCTGCGTTTGCACAGCTCTGAAAGACCCAACTGTGATTTTTCACAGCAATATTACTGCAAAGTCTCTTCCCTTTTCCACCTGCATCCTCAGACAGACGTTTCAGTCCTCCCCACTCTGACACCTAAACGACTGTGCGAGGAGACTTCCAAGGTCATCCAGTCATTCGGACCTCCCACTGCACCACATTAGTAATGAGCTTGTCCAGGTGAGCCACGTCCCCACATTTATATTAAATCAGCCTCAAGAGTCTCCTCTCGGCCCTGCTTCACTGTCTGGCTGCCCTGACCATACAATAGTGTGAATGACACCTGAAGCAGTCCATATCTCAACACAAGGTTCATCTTAAAAAAGGTCTTAAAGATGAAAAAAAGAAGTTAGAAAGTATATACCCACCAACATAACCCTATGCTATAAAATATAAATGAATGGTTGTCATGGTAACTGCTTCAGAGAGAAGTAGAGTCACTCACAAATGCTCAATGGCCAGAAGAAATCCTCACACACGCACACCTGGTCCTTTCCCTTACTGTGATTACTGAGCTTCATTCAAAGACTGGAGTTTACCTAATTCTGCAATGTTTCACACCAGCAAATTGCAACAGGAAGAGAACCACACCACTTCTGTCCCTAAAACCTATTCAGATTTCTCCAAGTATCCTGAGAAATCCTGTTGCTTTGGACAAATCTATAAGCTCTCTTATTGCTCTGTGAGGCACCGTTTTGAATTACTGTTTTTCACTACTGATGTGCTTTCTTGCAGACCCTGCTGTGAGATAAAGTGGTATTAGAGTGGCATTACCGGCTGGCGGAGTGACTGAGAGACATACGGGGCTGCAATATACTCCTTGAACTAACAGGCAGCAATATATCTACAAACCCTTTTGCTAATACCAGGAGAAGAAAGGGCAGAAAAGTAAAGCACCATATATTCCCAGGCTAACGTATGCAAACCCCCAAATACCTGCCACTGACTGAATTCCACATTTCAAAATAAAAATGGAAACTCTAGAGCTGATGTAAGCAGTACCAGGAACATTTCAGGCCCTCCTGAGAGGCACAGGGCACTGAGCAGTGCTAACACAACGCTGCAGCTCCCAGGCCGGGGCACCTTGTGCCCACACAGTGTCGAGAGCAGGAACTACAGCCCCAGACCTTCTGCCTGCACCCATATAGAATCATAGAATCATTAAGGTTGGAAAAGACCTCTAAGATCATCGAGTCCAACCGTCAACCCAACACCACCATG